TTCCACATTACAAAATGGGTTTTCATTATACTATACGTAACCGTTAATGCGGCTTTGTGAGACATACTTCACCGTACTTACCAAAGTACATACTAAAGTCCTTGTATTATAACCAGAATCTCCTGTAAGAGAGTGTGACACTTGTGTATAAATCTATACGGGACTGACAATCCCGCACTTAAACTGTTAGCTACAGTTGGACCGGCAGGTCTGGGGTGACAAATGTCATACCGTTCCGATGTCTGAAGAACATCGTACAGGCCAACAAGGTCATTAGCATGGTTATAATAACTCACAAGGGGTATTAACAATACGTTTGGTTTACGAATACATACATATCTTCAAATGGTTTTATTTAGATAAAACTACATTACACTATTTTACAGTACAATACAGTTTACATTTCTAGAAACATGCATTCAAATGGTTTTATAAAGATATAAAACTACATTATACTACTTCAGATTACATCAATACTTATACATTTTCAGTCTTAGGGTTCCTAAGAGTACAATTCACTATAAAAGAAAATATTGGATTTCTGAAAGAACACACTATCATTTTCAAGGAACAATGGCATATCTTTCTCATACAAAATGCTTATGAACTCACCAACTTAAATGGTGACACTTTTTTCAAAACCACTTGTATGCTCAGAGAATTAGTAGACAAGTACCCACACAGGTTTTGTGTGAGATGGAGCGTAGCAGTGTTACGTCTAATATTTTTGTCATATGTTTTTTTTGGAGTCAAACAAACAATGAATCGAACTCAATGTAAATATTAAATTATCAATACGATGGCTGTAATGCTTTGATCTCTATTAATCAATTGTTATAATACTGTACATGAAAGTCATCCACCCCAGACGTTTCCACCGTTTTACTTGGTTTGGGGGTGTGATAAATAAGGGCTTTGACTGGGTTGTATAACGCCTTCCTGTAACATTTCTGAAATGAGTGTGGTCATGATTTCTTTTTGCTATTGTGGGTAACGGTAAGGTTTGGCATTTATGGGTTTGGTGTTTGGAAGGAGGGGTGTTGGTTATGTTTGATCAGGTGGAAGTCCATGGGGGATATCGAATAAGGGTTGGTGGTCGGCGATTAATTTGGCGATGGTGGGTTGGGGTGGGGTTTGGTGTCGGAAACTAGTGTGGCTGGGGTTTGATGGTGAAAAAGCATGGTGTGTAGGGAGGCAACAGAGTTTTTACGGATGAGTGTGTGGAGGGAACTTGAGGATACTTGAGCGAAGAGCGTTCACCCTTGAGGGTGCATTTCTTATTGTCGACGATGAATGAGATTTGTGGAATGGAAAATTCAGCGATCAATGGTCCTAGTGAGCTAAGCCAGGTGATGCCAAGGATAATGTCTGCTCCTTCAACAGGGAGCACGAAGAGGGGTACCGAGAAACTGGTTTTGTTGAGTTCGAGTGCCACACTTGGGAAGAACCCATTGCATTCTAGGTTGTGACCGTTCCTAATCATGACAAGGAATGGCGTGATGTTGATTGGTTGTTGTGGAAGTAGGGCAACGATACATGGTTGAATAATATTATGGGTACTTCCACAATCTATGAGGGTGGTGATGGGGTGACCTTGGATGTGTCCGGTGACACGGAGGGCCTGGTGAGATTGGAGTCCAAAAAAAGCAGCATTGGAGAGAGACAAGAAGTGTGGTTGTTGATGTGTTCCCTGTTCAAGGTGTAGGTTGGTCATCTGATTGATTGTGTCGAGACTGGGGTCGGAAATAGAGCTTGCGTGGGTATCCATGGGGTCGTCATTATCAGCTATCAAAAGGAACTGGGAGGGCTACACTTATGACCTGGATGAAATTTTTCTGGGCATCTGAAACAAAGACCCTCTGCTCTGCGTTTTTGTAGAGATTTTGGGGAAAGGCGAGAAAAGGGAAGTTGGTTGGAGTTTATGTTGGTAGATGGGAGAGCCAGCGTTGTGGCTGGTGTTGGTAACAGGGGTGTTGTGGGAGGTTTGGAGTATGAGCTGGATGTGGGTGTGTATGGGTGAGAAGATGAGTTGTAGCGATGTCGATTAGTATTGAGTTTTTCTTCGATAAGTTTTGCTAGCTTGTATGTTTGGTTGAGGGATTGAGGGTTGTGGAGTGCGATTTCTGCTTGTATGTCGGAACGTAAGCTCGAGATGAAACAGTTACGTAGGGCGTGGTTAGGAAGATCATCGACACAATTGCTAATTTTCTCGAATTCAGCTTGGTAGGCCGCTACGGTAGAGACCTGTCTGAGTTTGAAGAGGTTGGCTTCGTGGTTTTCATATGAGGAAGGGCCGAAGCGGGTTTCAATGGAGCGGGTGAACTCTTGCCATGTACCGAGGAGGTTGTTTGTGGAGAGGTGTTTGTACCAGCTTAGGGCTTCGCCGGTGAAGTAGAAGACAACTAGGGTAATCCGTTGGTTGGTTGGTATGTTATAATAGGTGAAATAGTTGTTAGCTTGGAAGATCCAATCGAGAGGATTGGAACCATCAAAATTAGGGAGTCGCATTTTTGGGGGATGGGGTTGGTTATAGTTTACCGGTGGTGGAGGAGGAGGAGGAGGTGGTGACGGTAGTGGTTGTTGGTTGTGTTGTTGGGTGAGGGTAGTGAGAAGTTGAACAACAGTGTTCAGGGTGTCGTGTTGAGTAGCCATGCGAGCCGATTAGGGTAGTCATGTTGGCGATTAAGGTATCGAAGCGGCCATTGGAGACTATAGATAGCTTGATGAGGGCGTGAGCTGGAGCCCGAGAAAATAATGCTTATAAGATGGAGCCCGAGAAAATAATGCTTCAAAAGGTGACTTATTTTGTAACGCCCGAGTAGGGAGACGATTAATAATGTAGATTGCAGAACGAAATGCATGAACCCAATAAGAAGAAGGAGCGTGCCCATTGAATAGCATAGCAAGTCCGGTTTCAACGATGTGACGGTGCTTTCGTTCCACCCTCCCGTTTTGTTGTGGAGTGTACGGGCAAGAAATGCGATGAAATGTGCCATTTTTTTCAAGAAAATCGCGAACATGATGATTTATGAATTCCGTGCCCCCATCACTTTGAAAAACCTTATTTTTGAAGAAAATTGTGTTTGAACAAAATTGATAAAAGCCCCAAAAACCATATGAAAACTTGATTTGGTTTGAGAGGATAGAGCCACATAAATCTCGAATAATCATCCACAAATAGAGCATAATAGCGATAACCATCAATAGAATCCACGGGTGACGGTCCCCATAGATCACAATGAACTAAATCTAACACATATAAAGCTCGTTTATCATTAAGTTTAAAAGGTAAGCGATGTGCTTTAGCAAGTTGGCAAGGAGAACATACAACGGGTGACAGTAATAAAGATGTCACCGATAAGTGTCCCAATTTATTTAATAGAGAAATAGTATCAAAAGAGACATGACCCAAACGGGAATGCCAAAGTTCAAATGATGCCTTCAGTCTTGAACGTGCAACAGCTGTAAGTGCTTGAGATTCATGAGAGAGAACATATAGTCCTTGTTCACATCGGCCCTTTGCTAGAACCCCTTCGTTGCTCGATCCTGAATAAAAAAATTGGGTTGGGAAAACAAAACATCCACATTGTTATCAGTTGTCAACTTGCTAATAGACAATAAATTATTGGTAATATTTGGGACTACCAACACATCTCGTAGCCGAACATTATTATGAATGACAGATTGACCAACATGGGAGATGGGAAGAGTATTACCATCTCCAAAAAGAACATTTGCATGACCATCATAGGGAGCAGGTTGTGTAACAAAATTTGTGGAAGCCGTCATATGATTTGTAGCTCAGGAATCAACAAACCAGTCTGGAGCATTTGTGGTAACATGACACCGAGCGTGGAAAGCTTTTGCTAATTCCGTATCTGTACCGGGTTTATGAGTGGCATAGGAAGAAAGATGTGGACATGTATTGGCGTAGTGACCATCCTTACGACACAACTGGCAATGTGGAGGACGGCGACCGCGACCGCGACCACCCCTATTAAACCGACCACCACGACCACGGTAGGAATTTGGTGGCCTGGTGTCAGCAGTGAATGCAACAGCAGAAGAGGTAGTTCCATGCAAGGACTGTAAAAATAATTCATGTGCTTCCGCTTGGGAAAGAAGATCTCAAAGTGTAGTAGGAGATCGAGAAGCACGAACAGCAGTAGAAAAAGTCTCAAAAACAGACCCGAGACCACATAAGAACCAGTGAATTTTGTCCGATTCATCAACCGGTGACCAACAGCAGATAACTGATCACAAATAGATTTAAACTTACGACCAAAATCGGCAACAGTAGACGAACCTTTGGAGTTTTGGCGAAGCTGATCACGCAAGGCTTGAACACGCTCAATTGAGGAATTGTTGTAAGCATGTTCAAGTGCTGTCCAAATCTGATAGGCAGTAGATAAGCAAACAATTTCTGAGAATGTTTCCTCTGTAAGAGAGGCTTGAAGGAGAATAATTGCTCTCTGATCAGCCAAGACCCAAGAAGAACAAGCCAGATTTGGTACAGATTTGCCATCAACAAGAATTTCAGGGGCTGGTTTTGAGAGAGTTCCATCGACATGTCCCACAAGATTTTGATATGTGAGAAGAGAGATCATTTGGTTTTCCAGAGAAGATAATTAGAGGAGGATAATCGATTGGTGATAAGATGAAGGATGGTGTTCATTGGGAGGGTAGAATCTTGAGAAGAGGAAGCCATAGATGAAGAAGAAAGAGGAAACAAGAAGTAACAGAGGGAAGAAGAAGAGATAGGGGGAGCCGACCTGTGCTCTGATACCATGAGAATATAACTCGTCACACCAAATAAGGTGGAGAGACAACAGATTTATACAAAAAAAATTTACAAGATACATCCTCAAAGAATTAGAAAACATACAATTACATACACACAAAATAGAAGATGTACAAGAGACTTAATGTTGTCTAATACTACAACATATGGCTTCTAAATCAACAGGATATCGTTAATGTTGGAAGAAGCAAAAAGTCGTCACCGGAGACAACCTGGGGGTTAGTTGTTACATATCACACAAATTTATAATTTATAATTTATAATATTTTACTGATATTAATAATTTCTCCATAACAAGAAAATAGAAAATGGTCATAATATACCACTGACCGAAAGTCTCAAACTCAAAACTCAAACCACAATCACTACAATTATTATGCTGCTTTTAATGTGTTGCCAATATCAATAACAAAGCGATAACGGACATCAGCTTTTGCAAGACGCTCCATTGCAGTGTTGATATATTCAATGGGAATGAGTTCAATCGCTGCCGTTATATTATGTTTTGCTGCAAATTCAATCATCTCTTGTGTCTCCTTTATCCCTCCTATCAAACTTCCTCCCACCATCTTCCTACCTGTCACATGCATCATCAAATCTCATTAATATTTCTTATTCATACAAAATATACTCAACCACATTTTAATGAATTCAGGAAAATAAATAAAAGATTCATACCAAAAAGCAAAGGAAAAGCAGGTAGCTCATACGGCTTGGTTGGACCACCAACCAAAACCAGTTTACCATTAGGCTTTAACAGAGCAATCAAAGGCACAAGAGGATGATCAGCAGAAACAGTGTCAATAATTCCATCCATAGAACCCACACCACCCTGCATCTGGGCTTGATCACGACTCACCAGGAAAGAATCAGCACCAAAAGTATTAATAGCTTCTTCTTTTTTCTTGGGACTGGTGCTGATCACAGTAACCTTAACACCAAGAGCTTTAAGAAACTTAACAGCTACATGACCCAACCCACCAAGCCCAACCACACCAACATGCATTCCAGGCTTATCGAGCCCATAGTATCGGATTGGGCTGTAAACAGTGATTCCAGCACACAGAAGAGGTGCACCACCATCAAGTGGGTAGTCTTTGGGCCATGTGACGATGAAGTGTTCGTTGGCTACCATGTGGTCAGAGTAACCACCGTAGGTTACCATAGAAGAGTCATTGTAGGTTTGTACCATTTTTGGGCAGTATTGCTCTTGATCTGCACCACATTGATCGCATGAATGGCAACACCCAACCATACAACCCACCCCCACTTTGTCTCCTACTTTGACTTTTTTGACCTTGCTGCCCACTTCAGTCACCACACCCACAATCTCATGTCTGCAACGATCGACAAAAACAGTAGCAATTTGTTACAAAAAGTAAGTATCAAAAGATAACCCTAATCAGTAGCATATGAAAATGGAGGAGTGATTAATTAGTAATTAGTTAACTACCCAGGGATCATGGGATACTTGGCGTTGTGCCATTCATTCCTGACAGAGTGAAGATCAGAGTGACAGACTCCACAGTACAACACTTTGAACCTCACGTCTTCATCCCCTGTTTCCCTATAATCATCATTCATCACAGATTGGACATGAGTCAGCAAAAACTATGAATGCTTATTATACGAAGAAACTCGTTGATTAATGGTATATAGCTATTGGTATCAGATATTACTTGAGCTTAGATGTAATTATCGATGATTTAGCGTCATAATCAAACAGTTTACAGAAAAAGAAAAAAAAAAGGTACTTCAGACTTTTAAGCGTCCAAAGTAAAATAATAATCATATTAACAAAAACGTCGTAATTACTCGAAAAGTCAAGAAAGTAATATGAATATTCACTATAAAACAAAAAGATATTCCGATCAACTTGGAACTCGACAAAAGAATTTTACTAATCATTCACTAATTTAGTATTGAAGTTCCAAAATAATATATCAGATCTGTGTATTGTATATACTTTCTAAAGTGTTAAAACAAAAAATTAAACCATAACAATCTACGTGAAAGGAAATAATAAACAAATTATACCTCCGGGAGAAGTTAATGGGGGAGAGTACGCCAGAAGTGTCTCTGGCGGCGTAGCCCAAGGCCTTAACAGCATGCTCCGTCTCAGGTGAACTCCCCATCGGCGATTACTGTGACTGTGTGTGTTTTCCGATGAAATGTGTGATAGAAAAAAGTGAATGCAAATGTGTATGTGTGTTTAATTTGATAGAGAAATGATGCGTTGCGCTATTGGGAATATATGGTGGAGCAGTGTCCATTGAGTTATAGTGAAAAAGTAATGCTAACGTAACAGATGATGTACAGGGAGTCATACGGATTTAGTTGCTAACGTCACAGATGACGAACTCTGATACGGAAACCCCGATAGGGGTCAGTTGTGTTATTCGTGAGAAATTATATTTTATGTCTTTACATTAAAATCGAATATTCATTTTTGGAAGTATATATTATGTCTTTATTGTTTTTATAATACTTATTTTTAGAAATTATATAATAATTAATTAAATAATTTCTAAAAATCATTTTTACAAAAACAATAAAGACATAATATATGCTTCCAAAATGAATATTCGATTTCAATGTAATTTTACATTAAATTTGATAGTGATCAAAAGGGTTTGTCACATCTCTACAAAATAATTAAATATCTAAGTTATTTGAAAATATTATAATTTCAGTTAGTTTTTCACTGTAATTTATTATAAAGATTTACCCGTAAGCAAAATAGGATCCTTAACATTTAAAATTGGAAGTCACATAATGGTTAAAATTTAATTTCTAGAATCTTTGCAATTGATATTAATTGCTAAAGGTTAATGACCGCATATGATCATTTCAAATTTTTAGAAGTTTTTATGAAAATAACTAAGTTACAACCCGTGGGAACCACGGGTAAAATATTTTTCAAATTTTATTAAGTTAATAAGAATAATTTTTTTTTTAACTTTTGTATTGATTGTTTAACATTAATATATATTTATTTGAATATCTGATATACGTTATGTATTATGTATGTGAATACATTTAATATAACTATGATTTATAAAATAATTTATTTAATAAAAGATCAATACATGCCCAGTTTAACTAAAATGTTTTTCTTGTAATATCTTTATATATTTAATCACCATATTTTCCCATTATTTTTGTTTCTTTTTCATAAATTAAATAATATTTAAATATCATTATTTGCTAAAAAAGTATTTGTGTTTTCGCAATAACATTATAAATTTGTATAGCGATTAAAGGACGACTTAACAATTACTCATATATTCTAGTATAGGACTCTATAGAGTCCTAATTGAACAAAAATATCATAATCCTTGCTTTCATGCGATGAATTTCATCACAAAAAAGTAGTTTGACACAAATGTAACGAAAATCAACCCATGACATCAAATAATTCAACTACAAGTACAAAAAATTTCTTATATCTTGATTTTGATAAATCGATGTCTTCTTGTTTTGCTTATAATTCTTACATAGAGTAGTTTTAGCTTCTTTGTCGGCTCTTGTGATCGTAATGCAACTGTCAATTGTCGATGGAGTTTCCTTAAGGAAAGCTTCATGTAATAGAGCAACATATATCCAACTTATTCATTTAGTTAGTTACAACTCGTGCCTGCAACAACACCATTCTAGCTATAAACAAAAACATAGTCCCAATAAAATGCATCAAATATGAAAAATGAAAGGGTGGTATTTTGGTCTTGTAAAAGAAAAGGAAATGAATTAAATTTTGATTCCTTCAACCCATCCCTTGAATGATGAAATGTAGTATAATATGCAACCTGAAATTTTAACAAAATTAGATTCAATCCATTTGGCATCAACAAGTAAGTTATACCATAGTTAGATGTTTGGCCGTACTGATGAGCTTAAAGAAAATGGTATATAATAAATTGGCACACTCCAAGTTGAACCAACTTGCCTCGCCTAGCATTGAGATGGAAGAAAAAAAAAGATGAAAAATAAAAAGATGGAAGTTATCTGTAATCTAAGTTATAATAATAAAATAGTTGATTTATAAAGCACAATAATACGTATTGACAATTTCAAAAGATTGCCACAAGCAACAAAGTTAATCAAGTATATTGACACAAAGACTAAAAAGAATTAAAAAGAAAATAAATACATGTATGATACAACTGATAATTGCTAGCAAGAATCATCTACAACCACAATGAAAAAAGATGGTGAGAGTTTACTATTCTTCATTATTATTCATTGCATCAAAATATTTCAAAGAAAGTATGAACAAATGATATGTCATTAATCAAGATGATCTTTCAAAATGGTCTTTATTTCGTTCTATGATTGCATTCCTCTTCCAATTCTCTACAACTTTCTTAACAATAGAAATGGCTTTGCAATCTTCTCAGCAGAAAACATGTGCTCTATAATTCCTAAAGGTCCTGTTGGAGTACTTTGACCATAGTCTCCATCTCATGCTCAACCGACCTATAGAGTTCAAAATCCACATAAACATCAACAATCAAATTTAATCATACATGTATTCATATAAAATTGCATTATTGCAGAACAATAAAATGTAAGGAACACCTCTTCCGGTTTTTCCAGATTGAATTGAAAACAAACCCTAACAAACTACTTTGAAAAACATAACATGAATGACGGTCCAAATTAACGTGTCTAAAATTATTAACACCTCACAATACTAACTCGAAATGTCAGAATCAAAATGAAGCAGATTAACACTAATAAAGAAACAATAATTCAAGAAAACAGAAAATTGTTCGACATCATACTTCATCACTTTAACACCTTTGGGATAATAAAAACCCTACATATATGGAGATACATGGTAAATATCGAGAGATCGATGCGATGATGGAGGAGGCAATAACGTGGATTTGAAGATGGGTGTACCGAGAGTTAGGCGATTTTGATTACATTCGAGGAATTAAAATGAAGGAAGGGTATCAAAGTAAATTAACAATGAATGGAAAATGAAATGTGGGAGTGACACGTCATCAAAGGATTGTTTTATTAAGAGAGAAGATATGATCGTTTCCAAAAAAAAAAATCTTTAAATGAAAATTATATTATATAACTAGGTTATAACCCGTGGAAACCAAGGTTCGCAAAGTAAAATAACATACAAATTATAAAAAATTAGTAATCGTTATTAATAGATTTGCAGTCATTAAGTTTTTTTACAAAATTTAATATGTTAACCGTTACAAGATTGTGGGTATGGTGACTGAGGTGGGCAGCAAGGTCAAAAAAGTAAAAGTAGGAGACCATGTCGGGGTGGGTTGTATCGTCGGGTGTTGCCATTCATGCAATCAATGTGGTGCTAATCAAGAACAATACTGCTCAAAAATGGTACACACATATAATGATTCTTCTGTGGTAACCTACGGTGGTTACTCTGACCACATGGTAGCCAACGAACACTTCATCATCTCATGGCCCAAAGACTACCCACTTGATGGTGGTGCACCTCTTCTGTGTGCTGGAATCACTGTTTACAGCCCAATCCGATACTATGGGCTCGATAGCCTGGGATGCATGTTGGTGTGGTTGGGCTTGGTGGGTTGGGTCATGTAGCTGTTAAGTTTCTTAAAGCTCTTGGTGTTAAAGTTACTGTGATCAGCACCAGTCCCAAGAAAAAAGAAGAAGCCATTAATACTTTTGGTGCTGATTCTTTCTTAGTAAGCCGTGATCAAGCCCAGATGCAGAGTGGTGTGGGTTCTATGGATGGAATAATTGACACTGTTTCCGCTGATCATCCTCTTGTGCCTTTGATTAGTCTCCTAAAGGCTAATGGGAAATTGGTTTTGGTTGGTGCCCCAACTAAGCCATATGAGCTACCTGCTTTCCCATTGCTTTTTGGTATGAACATTATAACAACAAATTAATGTGGCGATTAAATTGTTTGAATTATAAAGAAATAACAAGGTTTGATGATGGCAGGTAGGAAGATGGTGGGAGGTAGTTTCATAGGGGGGATAAAGGAGACACAAGAGATGATTGAATTTGCAGCAAAACATAATATAACGGCAGCGATTGAACTCATTCCCATTGAATATATCAACACTGCAATGGAGCGTCTTGCAAAAGCTGACGTTCGTTATCGCTTTGTTATTGACATTGGTAACACATTAAAAACCGCATAATCTCATAGTGATTCGCTCCCCGTTGTACAGAAGAACGATCTTCGGAGTCAACGTATTATCCACTTTATTTATTATTTCAAATACCAGACCCATTTCTAACCGATCGAATTTCCGATTTTCGTCAAAGAAAAAAAAACAGGGAAAACTTTGAAATTTCAAAACACATTTTCCGATTTTCGTCAAAAAAAAAAAAAAAAAACGTTCAAAGCACGCAATGTTGTTCGAAAATGTGAGGGTGGTCATTTCCGAAATTTGCTAAAAAGTTGGGTTTTTTTTTTATATATATATACTAGGTAAGTTTTGAGGCCCGTGCTAAGCACGACCCACTAAGAGCAATTTGATTATTTTTTAACATTAGGGTAGAATGTCATAGTCAGAAGGATTTTTCCAAATAGAATGTTCAAAAAAAAAAAAAAAAAAAAGATGAAACTACAAAGTTGTAATATGAATTTGGGTTATACCAGGTAGTGTTTCTCTCGTGTGACATATAGTGTAAGTTAGGTATTTCATGTGTGCAACATATAGTTAAGTTGGGGATTTTGTTTGATGTTGTCTAATATATACTCTGTTAATACTAAAAATGAAGTAATATTACAATGCTTGTATGGGCGAGGAAAATGAAATTCATTGTCATTTCTTATAAAAATGAAAGTACATAGTCGATATTGGTAAAAATAATAAAGTCTGTTGCCATTTCCTGCAATTTATATATTCTACTAACATCTACGAGCTGAAGTGTAAAGAAATAAACCATGTAGGCCTAACAAAATCTCATTCTAAATTGTAAATGGACATATATAAAGATTCAAATACAAATAGCTTTATATATTATTCACAACGACTGTATAAAGATCATTAGAACCTAACAAAAAATGCAAGAAGTTTTGTCATGGTTCTTTCTTGCAATTTCACCTTCAGTTGCTTTGCAATTGCCCATACATCTTCACATTATTGATGCTTCTTTACAAAGAATAATTAAAAAGAAAAACTTTTTGTTTGGGGTTACATTGAGGTAACAATTGAAATGTGGGGTTATCGTGCATTTTAATCACCGTTGTAACTAATTTTAAAGATATCCAATAGATAAAAATCAGTGAACTCATACAACAACCATTTCTCCAGTTTTCCCTCAGAGATTGATGGTGTATTTCTTGTATTTGTTCTATTGGTAGAATGCTTCAACGAAGCATCTGAGATCTACAGTAAGGAAATGCCAGCATTTCCCTAACAACTTTATCTGCTTTCCAACCCGTGAAGTCAGCTGAAAGCAGTTCACAATATCAACAAAAATAATAGGGCTAAATGCAAGAAAGAGTAACGCCATGTAACTTACGTCATTTTTTTGAATTTGTACAAATATAAGTAATTATTTTTTCGGTGCATGTGATACAATTCTTGAACCTTGTTAGTCTTTTCAAAGTGTAGTTGTTAAAATTAAAAAATGACCATTATACCTTTTTCTCTTTCATAGGGATCCAAAAATATTTCCCACACTCTACAGAGTATCCTTGTAGTAGAACTATGTTTGGGTGCCTTAAACTAACATATTTGAAATATTTTCTAGAAAATTATCTTCCTCTTTGTAGTGACAATGACACAATGTTGCATTATCTATCTTTCTTAATGGCTATCATCTATATAATAGTGATATTTAGCAGCAAACCTGTCATGAACAACCAATAACATGGTTTCTCCATCCTCGATGACAATTCTTCACATGCACAATCTGATGCCATGATAAGCATCACTATGCCCTTCAGACGAAAATAACTCCAATTTGAAGACTCCTCTTACAAAACAACAAACATAAGCAACATGAAAAAGTTTTTTATAGGTGTCAAGAGGGGATTCTTATAAAGCTTGTGAAAATCATTTTCATTTCATTAGAAAACTAATCAGTGTGAGAGAAACACATTCAGAAAACTGGATCAAAACAAAAATAAGATGTTCAACGAACAAATCATATAATGTGTTAGCAATATTAACAATTCCACCTAAATGAATGGCATTTTTCAATTTTGTGCATAGCTATGATTCTTGTAACCCAAAGAAAATGATATAAAAAATAGATAGTTATATACCTGCCATAAAGGATGGAGATAAGAAATTGACTCCATTTTACCACTTGTTTTGTATATTTTTGATACATGAAGAAGGTTTATCAAATTTCAAAACAATCCACTCAAAATAAACAATAATTAAATTTTATGCGCTTGAAAACATTTTATTTATATTAAAACTAACTAAACCAAATTTTCTTCCTTTGAATTAATCTCAATACACACTCAAAGAAATGAAATAAAAACAACAATCAATAATACAAACCTTGTTGGGGAGGAAAAGAAGCAAATATTACAGAAATCCTAATTTCTTGCACATTTGAATAAAATTGGGATGAAAAGTAAAACTTAACAGGAAGATAATACATAAGAATAAGACGGGGCTGTCTTGAAATCATCTATTGAATGAAGCTAGTGCATCCTTATCATTCAACTAACAAAAACACATCCAACCCAAATCACCAATAGAACTATGACAACTTGAAAACAATCGTATTCCAAAAGGTATATAAATAATACCTTTTCCGTTGCCATGATTAAAAATCAACAACCAAGAAATCAAGAAATTGGAGAAAAAGAGTTTGTTGCCATCCAGAACAACTGGAGACAAATTCAATGAATCCCCTGGATTATATAAAAGCCCAATTATAAAGAAATTAATGAAGATCGTAACATAACAATAAACATACATGAAAAACATAAGAATGAAATCAATAGCAATACCATCGTTCAAGCATATAAGAGTTAAGAAGATAGCCGGTGGATGAATGAAAAAACTTGCACCAATTTTGTGTGTAATTGTGGTTTTTTTAGAGGAGGCGTCGTCGGTATTATAATTGGTGGCAAACCCTAATATTATAACCCCTGTATGAGGAATTTAAAATCACAAAGGGTATGTCATGAAACAAAAATGGGATCGATTATCCATGTCGGTGATCAATCGATACATCAGATTGGGGAATATGAGGCAATGCGATTCGATGTTATTCTCCATGGCGGAAATGTGAATCGGCGTTATTCTCCATGGCCTCGTTTAGAAGAAAGGTTAAGAGGCGGATTGAGCAGCCGTTTCCCTGAACCTTCCATGAAGTTCGTGAAGAAGTAAGACAATGGGGGAAGCGATGGCATATCGGGCACCTTGGAGAAGATATCTAGTAGAGGGAAGGCGTCGCCAATTTAGTTCTGCACGAAGAGGAGCGGTTGTATGGTAAGGTAGGTCACAAGGGGAAGCGGATACGGTGCACTGGAGAAAATTAGGCGGTGTGAATCGACGTCAATGGCGTCGTTAGAATATAGGTGACGTGGCGTTTAATGAAGGTTGGAAATTTGATTTTGGAGGCATGAGAAAAACAAGGTTTTTATATATAATAATGATATATATATATATATATATATATATATATATATATATATATATATATATATATATATATATATATATATATATATAAACACCCTTTTTATCTCCTTACGCCAAAATCAAATCTACAGAGTTTGTTTCACGCCACGTATCATATCTTCATAACGACGTAACCTTCAGCAACAGGCGTTTTTAACTTCGCATCCTCCACATAAATAGCCCCAACGATTCAGCGACTCCTCTTCCCCGCTAAGCGCAACTCCAGATTCCTCCTCAAACAATCGACCGAGAGATATGTCTGTTACCGCCACCGCCTTCTTCCACCCAAGACTATTCTCCGGGTCACTTGGTTTTCAGTATCCGCCTTTCCCAATACACCGCGATGACCCCTCGCCGTGATTCTCCATGTAGTTTTGTGACTACACCTGCTTCAATCTTTTTATTGATCGATTTTATTTTCTGTTAGTGTGCCAAAATTGAATTGAAACACTTTTCCTGATTCTCAGGTATTCATCCATCCCTTTGAAAAAAGTAATAATTCATAGATATCCCCTACTTTTGTCTAAAACTTCGATTTTTAAAACATCCCAGCTTCTTTCCTTATTTTTGGATTGATTGATTTTTAGTAAGTAAGTTTTTGTCGGATTGTGTCTAATAGACGTATGTAATCAGAATTTGGAACCATAGGTTAGTTTAAGGACGATTGGTTCTTTATGTGGGTATACATATAGAGTAGGAAGATGTTGAATATGTCATGCAAAAGAAGAATTTAATTATGCTCATAACGTGTTTGATAAAATGCCTAAGAGAAGTTTCATCTTTAGAACCTTAATGATTAAATGACAAGAAGAAAATAAATGATTGATTTTCACATACCGACATTGAGGTGGTTGTATTCATCGTTGGAAGTTCAAGATGAACGTGAAAAGGTACTTGTTTTTCTTCTTCTAAGCCTATCAAAATTCAATTTGGACGTTTTAGAACTTTGTGCGATGATATCATGCCAAGTGCTTATGAAAATGCCTACGTGATAATTAGAACCAACAACATGATTCCCACTACTAAATAAAGCAAGGTTATTTTGATATTTGTGAAAATTGATACATGGAACTAGAAATTTCATTTCAGTAGGGTCGGATTCCCTGTTGATCAATCTTATATTTACATGTTTTTTATGCAAACATTTACACATACACATCTATGATAAGAATCATGTATATATGTTATTCCCTTAAAAAAAACTCAAGTATGTTCCACTCTATTCCTAATTTAACTATTTATTTATGTCCTATTTTAAGTTTATTTATCTTGTGAAAAAAAATTATTATGTAAAACAATGTTAAAGTAACATGAATGACTTGTTAGCAGAAGTTGTTTCAGGGTTTGTTTAGGGTGCTTAAGAGTTTTTTTTGGCACAAGCACTGAAACAGGAATCATCTGATATGTTTTTCTTACAATCATTAAAGAGGGTTACCATAAAGACATAATTGTCAAACCTCTTATTGTTAGGAATAAACTACAAACATGAATTGAGGGTTTGGAAATACTTTACTTGATGGACATTCAACGTGTCAGGTAAG